AATGAATGTTTCCATGGTGACCAACGGCAACATGACAACGTTTCCATTGGTCCCTCTTCTTTAGAGAAGACCAGGAAATGAAGGATACACGGATCGTGTTCAAATCAATAGGCACGCAATGACTCTAAATAATAATGATCACGCCACCAAACACACATTCAGACTAAAGGAACCAGCCTGTTTGGAAAATGAGAGAAGTAGAAAGTACAGGTATTTGTGTTCAACATGTGAGAAGTAGAAAGTACAGGTATTTGTGTTCAACATGTAAGAAGTAGAAAGTACAGGTATTTGAGTTCAACATGTAAGAAGTAGAAAGTACAGGTATTTGTGTTCAACATGTAAGAAGTAGAAAGTACAGGTATTTGAGTTCAACATGTGAGAAGTAGAAAGTACAGGTATTTGAGTTCAACATGTAAGAAGTAGAAAGTAAAAAGTGGTCAGAAAAATAAGTAGTGGAGTAAAGTACTGATACCAGAGAAATGTACAGTAACGAAGTATTTGTACTCCACTACTTCCCATTCACAATATAACCCTCCAAACTCTGTTCAACCACCTGATTGGCTCGTATTAGATAAGACCTGCCTTTTTAAAGTTTTTCAGCCAATCAGATGGCCGTGTGAGCTGGTGTTGTTGTTGTTGTAGGAATCATCTGAGAGCACCAACACCACCATCGAGGACGAAGACACCAGAGGTAAACAAAACTGTCTTTATTATAGTTATTATTATTGTTATTATTTATTATTTATTATTGTTATTATTCTGTGTGTCTCTCAGTGAGGAAGCAGGACATCATTAAAGTGACGGAGCAGCTCATCGAGGCGATCAGCAACGGAGACTTTGAGAGCTACACGTAAGACTCTTATTGTGAAAATCCACCCATTGTGGAGTAGTCTGTGCTCTTATTGTGAAAACCCTGTGCTTCCTGCATTAAGATGTGCTCTTATTGTGAAAACCCTGTGCTTCCTGCAGTAAGATATGCTCTTATTGTGAAAACCCTGTGCTTCCTGCAGTAAGATATGCTCTTATTGTGAAAACCCTGTGCTTCCTGCATTAAGATGTGCTCTTATTGTGAAAACCCTGTGCTTCCTGCAGTAAGATGTGCGACCCCTCTGTGACGGCCTTTGAACCCGAGGCTCTGGGGAATCTGGTCGAAGGCCTGGACTTCCACCGCTTTTATTTTGAAAACTGTGAGCAGACTCTCTCCTGTAACAATATAAGACTTATTGTGGTACTTCCTGTGTGTAACGCTGTGTCCCCTCCCCCTCAGTGTGGTCTAAGAACAGTAAGCCGGTGCACACCACCATCCTGAACCCTCACATCCACCTGGTGGGCGAGGAGGCCGCCTGCATCGCCTACATCCGGGTCACTCAGTACATCGATGCTAACGGCACGCCCCGCACCGCCCAATCAGAAGAGACCAGAGTCTGGCACCGCCGGGACGGGAAGTGGCAGATCGTCCACTTCCACCGCTCAGGATCCCCCTCCACGCTCAGCAAGTGAGGGTGTGCGCTTATTTTGAAAATCTCCCCCTCCACGCTCAGAAAGTGAGGGTGTGCTCTTATTGTGAAAATCTCCCCCTCCACGCTCAGCAAGTGAGGGTGTGCTCTTATTGTGAAAATCTCCCCCTCCACGCTCAGCAAGTGAGGGTGTGCGCTTATTTTGAAAATCTCCCCCTCCACGCTCAGAAAGTGAGGGTGTGCTCTTATTGTGAAAATCTCCACGCTCAGCAAGTGAGGCTAGTCTCCGCTCTTATTGTGAAAATCTCCCCCTCCACGCTCAGCAAGTGAGGCTAGTCTGCGCTCTTATTGTGAAAATCTTCCTAGTGTTAAAAAGTAGTCTGCGCTCTTATTGTGAAAATCTTCCTAGTGTTAAAAAGTAGTCTGCGCTCTTATTGTGAAAATCTTCCTAGTGTTAAAAAGTAGTCTTTGCTCTTATTGTGAAAACCTTCCTATTGTTAAAAAGTAGTCTGCGCTCTTATTGTGAAAATCTTTAAACAAGTGAGGGGCGGGGCTTCTGTGTATTTACTAAGCTGTGAAAATCTTCTTGTTTTTTGAAAATGTCTTTGTTCCTCCAGCTGACTGCCTGAGGGGGCGGGATTTTGATGGGGCCACAGGCGTCGCCTTGACAACTGATTGATTGACAGCGGGCCGGGCGTGTGACATCACACAGGAAGTTTGAGAGAAGAGGGGCGGGGCCAGCGTTGCACAATCAGCCAATCAGCTTCCTCTTCTCAGCTCTTTGGACTCCAGCCACGCCCCCTTGTGCTCAGCCAATCAGCTGCTCCGAATGTAATGACGCGTGGAAACCTCGTAACTCCGTCAGGATGATTGACAGGACAGAGGACCGCCTTAACACACCTGTAATTAGATCTTAATTAGACCCCAAACACTTCAATATTTGAATGAATCATGGAGATACGAGGTTTCTTGAAACTGTGTTTACTCTTTATACTGGTCACCATGGTTACTAATTACTATTAGACCCGTTATCTCGTTAAGACAACCAATTAACACATAGGTAATTAATGACGTCAGGTGATGATGGTCTGATAACGAGATAACTGGATCTGAAGGTGGTGAGAGAGACTGAATGTACCTCTCTCACGGTAACTTCCTGCAATAATCAATCATTATTACTAATGATTGATTATTACAGGGATATTAAATATTATGATTGTAAAAGTATTTATCGTTTTGTTCATTTCTGCTTCCATCGGGCTCCGGGAGCCCCGAGCTTCCACCTGCGATCTTCCATCACCCCCCCCACACCTGTGCTAACGAGCAGGGCCTTAACGAGCGGGTACTTAGCGAGCATGGCCTGAACGAGCGGGTACTTAACGAGCAGGGCCTTAATGAGCAGGGCCTTAACGAGCTGTCTGCTACCTCGTTAGTTCAGATGAAGAAGAGAGGGAGAACATGATGGTGTTTCGGTCCTGAAACATGAATCACGTTAAATATATAATAAATCTACGGAGGCCCAGGAGGGACAACAGGACGCTAACGACCTGTCATCAATGAGTCGTTATGAGACCTGAAAGTGAACATTTTTTTAATATTCGTGAGTGATGACAGCTTCCTGTTTGTCTCCTCTGGGTCTCCGTACCTCAGGTGTTGTTAACGAGGAACTCACTTTATAACATGACCCCCCCCCCACCTTCAGTACATCATGGATTCAGTTCTGCATGAAGATGCTCTTCCTCCTCTTCCTCTTCCTCCTCCTCTTCCTCTTCTTCCTCCTCCTCTTTCTCTTCTTCCTCCTCCTCTTCCTCTTCTTCCTCCTCCTCTTTCTCTTCTTCCTCTTCCTCCTCTTCCTCCTCCTTCTCTTCCTCCTCCTCCTCTTCACCCTCTTCCTCCTCCTCATCCTCTCCTCCTCTTCCTCTTCCTCCTCCTCTTCCTCCTCTTCCTCCTCCTCCTCTTCCTCCTTCTCTTCCTCTTCACCCTCCTCTTCCTCTTCCTCCCCCCTCCCCCCCTCTCAGTGTTTACCTGTACAGGTGTTTCTGCATGAGATTTGACTTTGTGTTTCCTGTTTCGGCTCTGCTTCGTTTTGCCGCCATTTTGTTTTTCGGGCTCCTCCCGGTGACTCAGGACTTGTTAGCATTGTTAGCATTTCCCACCGGGATTAATGGTGTGTGCTAGCAGCGAGCTAACGAGGTGTTTGAGCTAATATTACTATAACTCTAAATATATAAAGCTTCTTAGTGTTATAGCTCTTATTATTATGGTGTGCATTAAAGCTACTGTCCCCGCGTCGCCGTTAACTTGGGGTGTTTCAGCCCGTTAGCTAGGTGGGGCCGCGGAGCTGCCGCTGTGTTGCTAAGCTAATTCTGAGTTTTGTAATCTTCGGGTCGTTTCAGTGTTTTCGCTCAAATAACTTGCGGTGTTATTCTAACGAGCGAAATCTGTTAGCATTGTTAGCTTAGCCGGTCCTCAGGTTTTTTTAACAAGCTAACGTGCTAATGTGTGGCTAACAGCATGCAGTGGTTACTGTCAGGGATGCTAACAATGCTAACAGTGCTAACCAGCCGTTTCACAGGAAATTAGAAACTGACTTCTTCCGACTGAAAAAAAATGTTTTAGTTTATCTTATCTTTATTATCTGTATTAATGTTATCTAAACTCTACCTGAAACATCTCCACTGGACTCCTTTGTTTACTTCCTGAACACAGTGACATCACTAAATAACACTCACACTCCTATTGGCTAGCGCTCCAACACATTGTACGTGATAGGCTAAGGGGCGGGACATCTCTAATCTGGTTGACCAATCACAACAGAGCTGGCCAGCTAACCAATCAGAGCAGACTGGGCTCTGGTTTCAGACAGAGGGTGAAAAGAGGTGCTGCAGCAAAGGCAGTGTGAGAAAAATAAAGAGCTTTTTGAACATTAGAGCAAGGAGACATGTCACAGGAGAGACAGACAGGTATATTATTTATTATGGTTTGATGTTACAGGTGTGTTACCTGATGTTACAGGTGTGTTACCTGATGTTACAGGTGTGTTACCTGACAGGTTCTTTCAGTCTGAAGCTCAGCTCTGATTTCCCGCTCTGCAGAATAACAATCAGCTTTTATACAACCATGGATATTTTACTGTATTAACTAATGCTGCATGCTCTGTGTGTGTGTGTGTGTGTGTGTGTGTGTGTGTGTGTGTGTGTGTGTGTGTGTGTGTGTGTGTGTGTGTGTGTGTGTGTGTGTGTGTGTGTGTGTGTGTGTG